TTAGTTGATTAACGATTGATTATGAACGCGATTGGCGCTCGAATATTTTGTGTTACAATAATGAACTGGTTTGATGATGGTTTTTTTTTGTTTATTTTTATACTTTTTATAGATTTTTATGGCTCAATTTTCTGACATATAATTTTAAACCAGTTTAATATTTTTTTTTACATACTTTAGCTTTTGAAATTAAATAAGACTCTTTCATATGATAGGTAAGTGATCTCAAAGTTATTAAGTACGTATGGATTACATTTTGGAACAAACAGAAAACGAGCGATTATGTTAAGAGACTTGGTAGGGTCTTTCAACCATGAAGAGGTTGAAAATACTGATGTATGGGAAAGAAAGATTATACGAGGAGTACGTTTGGAATGGAAAGAATAGTTTAAGTAGAAGATTAGATGTTACCTAAGTCGAGTCATATGTCATAATTTCATTTAAAAGCAAGATTAGTTAAGTTTTTCGAGTTCATTTGTCAATTGAGGCAAATTTAAAATAAGTATCGTAATTATCGTGATAAGGGTGAGTACACAGTGCGATAGCGCTCACCGACCAGTTTTACTTGACACCTCGCTGCTGACGCGCCACTATTAATCATAGAAAATGACGCGGCGCATTGTGTGACTCCGTTCAACTCAAAATTGTGAAAACCTACCCCCGGCCCGGCGCGGCGCAGGCGGACTAATAACGCGCTACGCTCACACTTCGGAAAATGCCCGCTAGGGGGGTACTGGCTGCAAAAGTAAAAGGAGAAAAAAAAACTAAATGCTTTTTTTAATACTCATTTAAGGAAAAATATGTTAAGGTATCCCTTAACAAGAAACTGAACGATTTTTAAACAGCAGTGTCATTTATGCGTATTCTTCGAATTGAATCAGATATTGTTTGTCGTTTTTTTTTTATTTTTTACTACTTTCCATAGTGCGCAACTTTTCACACATTAGTATTTTTATACCAATTATAACCCTTTAGTCTTATTTAACTCCGTGGAAAGTATCTGATTTCGCGTATACAACCTCAAAATATGTAAACATCTCATTATATTAAAGTTGTTATTGTCCAAACAAACGAATGCCGATCGATGTACAATTAGATACATATTCTAATTTAACCGTCAAGTAAAAATGTTGTATTAGAAAAAAAAAGAAATGTCTTTTTGTTTCTTTTTCCTGACCTTACTGTGCTAGAGGCTGACGATGACGTCACGCACTTGTGTGCGTGCGTGCGCCTGTATGCGTGTGTCGCTCTGCAACCGACGTGATATATTGAGAACTGCACCAAAAATCGCTATACCTAGTTTACGTAACGTAACATTCTGCGTTACGTTTTGGTGCGTAAGGTCGTATAACTTTTTTTTGTATATATTTTCCAGCAGTACATACTGAAATAACATTCATAGGTAAATTAACTTGCAATAGAGATATTTATATGTATGAAATACTAGCATATTCGAAGCAGCTACTAAGATGCGAGTTATTAATTCCTAGTCGTTGCCCGCGACATCGTGCACGCGGAATTAAAAAATCTAGTAATAAATTTCTTTGCCACCCGCCGATAGTGTAGTTTACCAAAATTTAATGAATTTTTCAAATCAGTTCAGTAGTTTCGCAGCCCATTTAATGCAGACAAACAAACAATGAAATTTTCCTATTTACAATATATTAGCTGTCGCCCGCGACTCCGTCCGCGTGGATATATAAAAAAACTTAATATGTATTATAGATAAGTTAAATAAAAACCAGCTCTTCAAGGCAGAAATTACAAAAAAATGAATAAATAGTATCCTACGTCCGTCTCCAGGCTCTAAGCTACCTCCTCACCAATTTTCAACCATATCGGTAAAGCCGTTCTTGAGTTATAAATAGTGTAACTAACACGACTTTGTTATATGTATATAACAAAGTCGTGTATGTAGTCGTGTAAATATATATATATATATATATATATATATATATATATATATATAT